CCTGGAGGGGCTGAACTCACCACTCCCACAGAGGTGAAGGCTGCCACGGAGCTGATGATGGTGGGGATGATGTTGAACTTGCCAGCCCCAGCAGAGACTGGCTGGAGCAAAGCTGACCCCTCTGCAGCAGGGTGCCTGTCAGGCGGGGCCATCCCCGGGGGCCAGAGGGCACCTTAAGAGTTGGAGGGCACCTGTGGTTTCAAGGACAGCTGACAGCATGAGTTAGGGACTTTGTGTGACTGTCTGGGTCCTCATCCCACCTTTGCAGACGAGGCAAGTCAGGCTGTGAGTGGCACATGGTGTCCAAGATCATGCAACCAGCAGGTTGTGTGGCAGGTATTTAAACTCAGATTTGTCTGACTCCTCAGGTCAGGTCCACTGCAGGTGTTCCCTTCTCTTTACATCCACTCTTACATAAGAAACACATGGTGGTCGCAAGACAGATCAGAAAATACAAAACTACGTTAAAAAGAATTCCCACCACTGAGAAACAACTGTGGTTCACATGTTGGCACGTGTCCCCCAGAGTCATGTGAACATGTTCAGGGGACACTGGAAATAATTCCGTAGCTTTTCTGTATGTCATCCAAGAGTTGCCAAAAGCATGACTGTAAACGGCTGCTCATAACCCATCCCATGGCCACATCACAGCCAGTTTGTCATCGCCCACCCACCCATCCTGGCCAGGGGTCCCCTTCACATAGGAGTTGGGACACTGTGCCCCACTCTCCTGCTGACCCCTCTGCTGCCTGAGCAGGGGTCCCAGATGACAGCCCGGGGAGCCACCAAGGTGAGTGGACAGGAGAATATCAGAGATAATAGAGTCCAGGGGGCCAGCTGTTTCCAAAGAGCCACTTTAGAAGTTTGATCATTGTTGGTTAATTTACTCTTTAGCTGCAGGTGTTAGCTGCTGGCTTCCCAGCGTCCCTGGACCCTTGTTTCCAAGTTGGAAGCTTGGGCAAGGGCTCCAGTGGGTGTTTGAGGAGCCCGGTTTCCTGCCAGCCCCTCAGAGGCTAGAGGATTCTAGGTGCCTGGGGCGGGACTCGGGCACAGCAGGAAGCACATGCTGCAGCATTCCTCGGGAAGGACACTGCCACGCAGCTGCAAAGCACAGGCTCTGGTCCTTTGTTTGGCCATGGGGAGGTCCCATGTGGGACATGTCTGGTGGTTTCTGGGCACCCAGCAGGTCGCTGCCTATAGTACAGCTGCTCACCAGCAGGCAGGGTGATTAACCAGGACCACCACCCCAGGTTTTCCAGGTGGCATCTGCCCCGCCGCCAGGAGGTTGAACTACTTATTTTCTAATTATAAACATCTGCTTCTTGGCCCCTCCCAGTGTCACCTCCCAGGCCTGAACGTGGACTCCAGTAGCAGGTACGGAAAAGACTCTGGGCTTTGCAGGCACCAGCCAGCTCTGTAACCTTGAAGAAATCCTTAATTCTGGGCAGCCTCAGTTTCTTCACCTGAAACAGAAGTAAGAAGCACCACGGGACTGTGGGGAGGACCAGAGAGAAGCTTTGGGAATAAAAGGTCGAGGCAGCTTGGGCTCTGGAGTTGGACTATCCAACACCAACTCCCAGCTCTTCCCCATGCAGGCTCTGGCACTCGGGTGCCCCAGTTTCTTCATCTGCAAAATAGGAATAAAAACAGGGATGCATCATGAAGCTATGAGGACTGGGTGGGTTAATGAACCTAAGGCACCACAAACTTCACACATCATACCCAGGCCAGGTGGCAGAAATGTGTGTGGGTGGATGTGGCTTCAGATGTCGTTGGAAACAGCTGCAGTGGCCTGGGGAGCAGAGCCAGGTGTGCCCACCTTTCACTCCCGGTGCCATGCTGTGGCCTTGGTTTAAGACAGAAACCACCCTGCAAGCATTAGCCCAAGCTTGCTTCTGCCTGAAAGAGTGGCACAGGTTGTCTTGCGCTGTTTAGAATGGGAAACTTTCAAAGGCAAAATTACCCAGTCTTAAGCCAAAGTCAGTGACAGACATCAATCTTCCTGTTCAGTTCCAGTGCCCTCCTTTGCTTCCCCAGGAGTCCGTGCAGACAGTCCATGAGTGCAGACCTGTCAATCATGGGGTCCAGGCTGTGTGTTCCTGGTGGAGCCGGGGGCGGGGGTGCATAGAGGGCCAGGGCACCTCGGTTCTCACCTTCTCAGGCTGCATACCCTTGAATGAGTAGCTTCTCAGTGCCATGTTTTCTCACCTGAAATGGGGGTTAGGGTGCCCACCTCTGAGAGTGGTGAGGATAAATGAGTCCCCGCATAAAAAGTGCTTGGTTCCAGCACACAGTCTGTCCTTAATGAACAGCAGCTATTAATATTTATTATAAACACAAAATCACATTTAAAGTGAGCCGGTTTTATTTTCCTTGCCTCGAATGTGTCCTTCTAACCCTTAGCTAACTCCTACAGTTCCTTCTGCTCTCACCTTGGATCTCTTTTCCTCCCCTTCTGGCCTGTTAACCTAGTAACAGGGATTCAAAGCACCAGGTACCTCTCCCTGATAGGCTAGTGACAGAGACAGTTTGCATATGATTTTAACAAATCAGTGTCTTCCATTAGGCTGGGAACTCCATGTGGGCAGTGACTATCCTGTTTTGTGCACTGTATCCTGGGGCTTTTCACGCGAATTGGCACAGAATGGAGGCTCAAGAAGTACTGGGTATGTAAGGGGAGGGTAGAGAGACAAAGAGGAATACAGAGAGAGAGGGAGGAAAAGAAAAAAGAAAAGACGAATCATGAAAGAAAGAGAAAGAAAGAAAGAGAAGAAAGGCAGAAGGAAAAAAGGGAAGAAAAAGGAAGGACGGAAGAAAGGAAGGAAGTGTTCCTTACTCCATGGAATATAGTGTTTAGTCTATGGAGGCCTTTCAACAATATTATTTCCAGTTTTAACTCAGACATCACTGTGGTCATCAAAGCCACTGAAGTATCTTTGCCTGGGGTTTGAGTGCAAAGAAAACAGGGGGAAGGGACAGGCTGCAGAGAAGGGAGGTGAGTGAGAGGGCGCAGAGGAGCTGGAAGACCTGCCCTGAGGCCTGTCTCTGACTTGCTGTGTGATCTGGGCACCTTGTTCAGTCTCTGAGATGCCATTTGCTCACGTGTAACACAGGTTGTTCAAATGAAGCAGCGTGTGTAAAACTCACAGTGGGGCCTGCTCTTGAGAGCCTCTGACCCTGTTGGTCATCGTCATCACAACCATGAATGATGGGGTGCCCCTGGTCTGGGCCCCAGGAGGGAGGAGAACGATGGGGTGGGGTCTGGCTCTCCCCCTTCTTCCACCAGGGTGGCCTCAAGCTTTCAATCCCCAACTAAGAATTGGGCCCCAGAATTGGCCAATCCCCCCCACCACCAACCATGTCAGGTTGATAAGCTGAGGGTCTTGTCCGTTGGGCCAGAGAGATAACAGCCCAGACCGTTAGTTACTCTGCAGTGAGGCCCAGCAGTGACCTCTCAGATATTTCTCCATTTGCAGGTGCCCTTCAAGAGCAAGGAGAGGAAGAAGCCCAAGCCTTTTCCACCTGTGGGACACCTGTCCCTGGTGCCATGATCCTGGAGGGCTGTGCTGGGGTCTGAAGAAGTGGGCACTGCCCAGGGAGAATGTCGCAGAGCTGAGTCACCCACCCTGGCAAGGCCAGCAGCTCCTGGCAGAGATATCCAGTAAAGTCAGGACTCCATGGTTGCAGGGGTGTTTTGGGGCTACAGTGCCCTTGTCTGGAGCTTGGTTGATTCAACTTTTGATATTTTGTTCATCACAGATTTTTTGCATGTATTTTGATTTTTCAGAAAGATTGCATGAAAGTATTCATCTTAACTACTGAATTCTTTATTGCCCTCTTAAAATTTGCACTTGAAGTGTGTGCCTCAATCTCTTCCCCTAGTCCTGGTCCTGGTGGTGATGGAGGGCTGGTGGGAGCTGGGGAGTGGTGGTGAAGGGGTGGCCAGCTGCCCACAGGGTGTGTGAGTGATTCTGCATGAAGCTTTCCAGTCCAGCTGTGGCCTCTTGGCCCAGAGATTTACCGTGAAGTGGAACAAAATGGCATATTCTAGATCAGTGATCACCCATGTGGCAACTTTGCTCCCCAGAGGGTATCTGGAAATGTGTGGAGATGTTTTCAATGGTCTCTGGGGGACAATTGGATTGACTGAGTGGAGGTGCCCCTGAGGTCTATTGGGTAAAGACCATGGATGCTGCCACACTTTCTACAGGGCAGAGGACAGCTTCCCACATCAAAGGCGTATTTGACTGCAAATGGTAATAGTGCAAAGGCCGGGAACCTTGATCCTGACCCATAGCATGGAAGAGAGAGCATAGGTTTTCACACATTCAAGACAAAAAAAGAGGGAGAAGAAGAGTGAGAAAGAGAAAGAGAGGGAGGACAAGAAGGAAGGTGTGGGAAGAATGGGAGAAGGGGGAGGTGGGGTGGGGGAGGTTTGGGAGCCAAAAAAAAGACTTAGAAATCTCAGGCCCCCCACTTCCTGTGCTTCCTTGGCAAAGTGGCTTTCCCTCTCGGAATCTCATTTTTCACACCTGTCAAGTGAGGATCTCATGCATTCTCGTGGGAATGAGGGTGAAGGTAGGATTCTGGGGTGGAATCATATAAAATGCCTGGTCTAGACAACCACTCTTGAGAATGAGTCTCCCTTTGTCCCCTCCCTTCCTCCTTCCCTTTCTCCTTCCCTCTGGGTCTTTCAGCATCCTGGGGTCCTCTACTTTATTGGCTGGGATATTGACCAGAGGCAGGCTTCTCCTAGAGTGAGAGGCAGGGGCACATTTGAGGTGCCAATAATAAGTATGTCCAGGGCCTTCTCCAGTGCCTGGGTGTTTGGACACCCATATGAGTCTGTAGGCCCTGGGAGGCAGGTCCCTGCAGTCCCAGCAGAGAGCTCATGCAGTGAGCAACTGTCTTCTTATCAGCTCCACTGCCCAGCACCCCAGCCTGGGGCAATCATTCTGGGGTCTTCCCACTTCCCCAAAAGCCCTGTATAAGGGCTGCCTAGGATGCCCAGCAGCCTGAGGTACTGAGAGTGGAGACTCTTGCAAGGTGAGTGGTCCCCTGGTTTCCCAGGCAGGGTGGGTCCACAGCTTGGGAGAGGGCAGAGGCCTATATGGCTTGTCCTTAGGACTGTGCTGGCCACTGTCCTTCCAGTCCTCCCCCAGTGTGAGTGAAGGCTGCTCTGACCCCGAGCAGACCTGCTCCTGCAGGGACAAGGGTCTGGGCTAAGTGCTGTCCCAGGGACAGTGATGGAGCTCTGATGTAGAGGGGACTTTTGTACTTGAGCTTACTCCCCCACATCCTTTTCCTGAGTCTCCAGGTTAGGGTCTGTTTATTGGGGGAGAGGGAAGCTGTCTACTTTGTCCTTTAATCAGCAGATTAAACAAACAGCCACATCTCTGTTAAGCAACAGGGCTGCGCAGACACACAGGACATCTTCAAGGAGGGAACGTGGTGCTGTGACCCTGTCACAAGACTGAGCGAATATGAAACACGCCCTGCTGCTGCCCCTTCTCCTGCTGGGGACCATTGCTGCTTTTCATCTGGGTAAGTCCTCCCCTTCCCTTCTCATCCAGGTTTTTCTTTCCTCCTCTTTCCTGCATTGTTGTGGCTGCCTTGGGGCCAGGGTCACAGCTTTCCTTCTTCAGCTGACCCAGCTCTCCTCTGGTGAGATTTCTTCTGGACTCAGAACTGTGACCTTACCTTTTTGTCAGGCTCGTTCACAAGGTAAAAACCACTCACCTGTGAAGATGAAGGGCTTCATATCCCCCCACCCCCAGAAATACACACGTGTGTCAGTCAGCATCAGTGTCTGGTGCACCTGTGTGAGTTCTCACCTCACCCAACATGGAGGAGATCCTTCCAGTCTGGGCTCCAGACAGCAGCACTAGGAAGGCCCCATGGTGCTGTCCGTGGTGCTGGAAGAAGGCAGAACCCCACCTGATGGTAGGTTATCTCTTCTTCCCAGAGAATCATGCTCCCCACCTGGACAGCCAAGACACACAGGCAGACCTGAGCCAGGATCTGGAAGGTTCAGGAGATCAGGAGGGAGAGTTGGCCCAGACTAAAGAGGAGATTCAGTCAGAAGAAGAGCAGGTGGAGGCTTCTGGCTACCAAAATGACTGTGAGGAGGAGAAGGCCATGCAGTGGGACCCAAGTGCCCTGGACAACGACTTGCAGTGCCCCAAGACCGAGGACACAGTTGAGATAGTGGGCAGTCCTGGGTGCAAGACCTGCCGCTACATCTTGGTGCAGACCCCCCGAAGGTTTCGCGTAGCTCGGGTAAGTGCCAGTGTGGCTGCTATGGAAGGAGGACCATGAGGAGGGAATGAGAATGGACTCAAACTTCTGTTCCCTCTTCATTCAGAGTAGTGGTTCTCAAAGTCCAGGTGCGTCAGACGTCCCTAGAGGTCTGGTTGGGAGATAGAGTTTTGGTGCCCAAGAGTTTGCATTGATTACGAAGTGCCAGGTGACATTATGTTGGTCTGGAGACAGCACTTTGAATCACAGATTTCAACAAAAAGCTTTGGTATCAGATATACTTGTGTAAAAGCTTGGCTGTGCCTGCCATTGGCTGTGTCACCTAGACAAGTCACTTCAGCTTTTAGAGCTTTAGTCTTTTTTTAAAAACATGTTTTATTGGTTATGCTCTTACAGTTGTCTTGATTTTTTGTCCTTGGCCCCTCTCTACCCAGCATTCCCTACTCCCTCTGGCAACATCCCCACCATTGTTCAAGTTAATGGTTTATGCATGTAAGTTCTTTGATTATTATTCCATTTCCCATGTTGAACTTTATTACCATGGGATATTCTGTAAATATTTATTTGCATTTAATTCCCTGACCTCCTCATCCATTTCCCGCACTGCTACCCATTTGGCAAGTGTCAAAATGCTCTCCGAATTCGTGATTCTGTTTCTGTTCTTCTTTTCTTAGTTTGTTTTTTAGATACAGTTGTTGATAGATATGTATTTTTTGCCTTTCATTGTTCATAGTTTTGATCTTCTTCTTTTTCTTAAATAGTTCCCTGTAACATTTTAGAAAATGATGGTCTGGTGATGATAAACTCCTGTAGTTTCTTCTTGCCTGGGAAGCTCTTTCTCTGCCCTTTGATTCTAAACAATAGCTTTGCTGGGTTACAGCAATCTTGGCTGTAGGTCCCTGGTTTTCATGACTTTGAATATTTTTTTTTGCCAGTCTCTTCTGGCCTGCAATGTTTCTTTTGCAAAATGAGCTGAGAGTCTTATGGGAACTCCCCTGTAGGAAACTAACTTCTGTTCTCTTGCTGCTTTTAAGATTCTTGCTTTATAGTTATTTTTTGGCATGTTAATTATGATGTACCTTGGAGTGGGCATCTTTGCATGCATCTTGTGTGAGAATTTCTGTGCTTCCAGGACTTCCATATCTATCTCCTTTACCAAATTAAGGAATTTTTCTTTAATTATTTTAAAAAATAGATTTCCAATTTGTTGACCTTTCTCTTCTCCTTGTGGCACCCCTATGATGCTAATATTGGACCTCTTGAAGTTGTCCCACAGGCTGCTTATGCTATCATTATTTTTTGAATTCTTTTTTCTTTTTGTTGTTCTGATTGGTTGTTTTTCCAAATCATTGATTTGATTATCAACTTCATGCACTCTAGTGCTATTTCCCTGTAAATTGATCTTTATTTCAACTAGTGTATGTTCTGCTTCTGACTGGATCTTTTTATGCTGTTGAGGTCCTCACTAAGTTCCTCAAGCATCTTTACTATAATTTTTCTGACTCTGCATGTGATGTATTGTTCATCTCCATTTCACTTAGCACTCTTTCTGGAGTTTTGATCTGTTCTTTCATTTGGGCCATGTTCCTTTTCCTCTCCATTTTGGCAGCCTACCTGCGTTTGTTTCTACGTGTTAGGGAGAGTGCTTTGAATCCGTGTCTTGGTAGTGTGGCCTAAGGTGGTAGATATCCTGTAGCATCTAGGGCACAGCCTCCTCTATCGTCCATGCTGGGTACTCGAGCTGTGTCCTTCATGTGGGCTGAGTACACCCTCCTTTGTAGTCCAACCTTGATTGCTGTGGGCAGGTCAGTGGGACTGATTTATCTGGGCCAGTCAGCTGCAAGGACTGGGTGTGACCACTGACCACCAAATACAGCCTTTCAAGGAGGACTAGCTGTTCAGGGCAGGGTGGTGGGGCTGAGACTTCCAGTATTTTCACTTGTACAATGGAGATATATAGTACCAACTTGTTAGAGTTGTGGTGATCATTAAATGAAATAATAGATGAAAGTATTTGCAATAGTCCCTGGGTTGATGGAATCTGTCAATAAATGTTGGCTATGATTTTTCTAAGTATTAGAAAGTATTTCCTGCAAAAAGATTCTGATGACAGATAAAAGAGCAAGAGAAGGAATGAGGGGGCTAGAAGATCCGTGATTTCTGACTGGACAAGGGATGCAGAGCTCCTCCCTGGAGACTCTGGGACTAGATAAAAAACGAAATTCTGTATCCCGCCTCTTCTGCTTTCCACAGCGAATCTGCTCAGGGTGCTATGGAGGCAACCTCGTCTCCATCCACAGTTACTGCTCCAACTATCATCTCCAGTGCATGGCCAGGGGAGTCAACGGAGGCCAGGTCTGGATTGGAGGCAAAGTCTGTGGCTCGGTAAGTGAGGGGCCATCTCCCAGGTACAAGAAGGTCTCTGATTGCCTCAAGAGAGCACCTGCCTAGCCTCAGGCCTCATTTCAGCACCTGAGGTGACCCAGGTGTGGGTGCTGGCTTGTGCTGGCTCAGGAGAACTGGTGTTTGTACTAATCTCATTTCACCCCATTGATCAAGGACTTCATGCCTGCAGTATGAAATGCGCCACGGTGGGTGTGTTCACACCAAGGAAATTGGCAATTGTTACAAATCAGCATTCCTCCCACTCTCTGCCTTCTCATCTTGCCCCAGAGCTGATTGTTAAACCCTTGCCAGCAGACCACTGGAGTCAAGAGACAGGGTCCATGCCCAGCTTGGTCACTTTCAGGCTGGATGGCTTCCTCATGTCTAGATGGGGTCGTTCTTCTGTCCAAGTGCCTCTGGCCTAGTGGGTAAATAAGTGCCATCGGATTTGCTGCTCAAGTGTGGTCCATGGACCAAGCAGTTATTAGCATCTTCTGGAAGCTTGTTAGAAAGGCACTACCTTGGGTCCCATCTGTGAACCCTGAATCGGGATCTGCCTGTTAAAAAGACCCACAGGAGATTTGTATTCACGGCAGAGCCTGAGAAGCCTGCTGTGTGTGATGGCTCAGTTGTCATTGCCTGCACAGCCTCAGGGGTGGGTGTCTAGGATTTCTGGCTTCTAGCTGGGGGTGAGCAGTACCAGAAAGGGATATCAGTGGGCATTTTCTGAACCCCCTGAGTTTGTCTTCCTGGACTTCTACCTCTTACAGGGGCCTTACTGGCTTGACGGGAGCTGCTGGAATTATTCGAACTGGGCTGCAGGACAGCCTAACTGTGGGGATGGCAGCTGCATACTTCTATGCACCAGAGGTGATGGGGACTGGGCACCAGGGTAAAGGGGAGGGATGGACTCCTACATACTGTGCCTTTGAGCTGCCCGAACACACCTTCCCAAACCCATAGCCTTGCCCAACTGGAGAACCAATGTCCAGTGTGTGAGGAGGGCTGAGTTGGAGGGTGAGGGTGTGCCCTGTGTGTGGGTTGGGTCAGGGCTGTCCATTCTCACAAAGCTTGGCTCAGGGCCTGGGGGCTCCATTCCTTCATCTGCTCAGAGGAAGCCACCGATGTGGCAGATGAGAGTGACAGGTGCAAATGAAAGGTGTGGATGAGGGACGAAGGAGAAATGTGGAGACTGGGGAGGGCTGACAGTTATGAGCCAGCTTCCACGGCGTTGCTGCCCGATATGAGGGAGCTCAGTCCAGTGCAGAGGCCATGCATGGGGCAGTGAGGCAGCCACAATCCATCCCCATCCCAGCCCTCCACCTGCTCCTGAGCCCCAGGCCCATCCCCTGTGAAAGGGGTTGGTGACTGACCCGCCCTCTTGAATGGTTATGAGGATTCCCCAGGGGTCCAAACACGCACTTAGCACACTGCCTTCTGGTGAGAAGACCCAATGCCTGGAACTCGTGGGGATGTGTGGCCAACGTGTCCTGATGAGTGGTGACAGGCAAGAAACAAGAAAGACACAGGAGGAGGGATGGGGTCTCAGGCCACACCAGGATGGACAGCTGACATAGCTGTGATCTCTACCACCAGGGGGTCAGTGGCGACGTGTGCGGTGCTTCTGGCGTCTGCCCTTCATCTGCGCTGCCTAAGCCAGCCATCTGGAGATCCTGCCTTGGAGCCTGCTGCCCACACCCCTCCTGGCTGCCCCGACCCACCCTGGGCCCTGGCTGGGCCTCCAGCCTCCCCTGCTCATAAAGCCAGACTTCCCACTGCAGTCCTGACTCTTGTCTCTTCATTGCTCCTTGGAGGGCTCCTGGGGTTGGAAAAGCTCGCTCCTGCAGGGTGGGACTTTGAGGGAAGTAAAAGATGGCAGAGTGCCCCCCCCCCCCCCACGTGGGTTCAAGGGGTAGGGCGTGAGGTGTTTGGCTGCAGCGCCACCTGGAGGCGGAGCCCGGATTAGGTGGCTCTCCCAGGACTCCTGTGCTGTGTGGTAGGGGGCTTCCACCCTGCCCCCTCCCCACCTCTCATGGGGTGGGCATTGCTGAACTGGCCCTCCTGCTTTGTTTGCTTCTCTGTGGGCTTCGGGGTGTGGTGGGAGTGGGGCGGCTGTCCAAGAGGAGGGTGATGTCACTGATTGGAGAATTGGAGGAGTGTTAAAAAAACAAAATTCAGCTGAGTGCATTTTAAGAGGAAATTGGCTTTATTCAAGGATTCATGAATCAAGCAGCATCCCATCCAGCAAATAGAAAGGAGCTCTGAGGAGCTGTACAAAATGGAAGGCTTTTCTAGGTAGAAGGGGTCAGATGGAATGTTGTAGCAAAGAAGAGGTGGTTGAGGTGAGGCCATCTCCCTTTGGAAGTGGTCTATCAAGAGGATTACGTCACTAGTTCTGAGCAGGTAGCTGCACATTGGCTGGTTAAAGGTAACATTCCTGGGAGAGGCTGAGACTGCAGTTAGGTTCGGTAGTAAGTCTCGATTTGGGTGGGCTTAGCACAGGTGGCTCCGTCTGGGGCCTGTGAGTCCTCCCTTCCTTTCTTCCTCCCTCCCTTCCTTTTTTTCTTTCTTATCCTCACTCAGGGACATGCTTATTGATTTTAGAGAGGGGATGGGAGAGAAAGAGAGACACCTTGGATGAGAGAGAGACAGAGAGAGGGCATCAATCAGATTGCCCTCATGTGCACCCAGGTGTGGGGACCAGACCCACAGCCTAGTCACGTGCCCTGATGGGAAATCTGGCTGACAGCCTTTTGTCTGTGGGACAACCTGCCAACCAACTGAGCCACACTTGCCAGGGCCTGGTATCTTTTTTTCATTTCCTCCCTCCCTTCCTCCCTTCCTCCCTTCCTCCCTTCCTCCCTCCCTCCCTCCCTCCCTCCCTCCCTCCCTTCCTTCCTTCCCCTTCTCTCTCTGTGTCTCCTTTCACAGTAGTGAGATCCCACCTGTGGTAACCACATGGGAGGGGATAGAGAGCAGCCTTGTGTAACTGTGTCTTTTTGGCCTAACAGTGGCTCTTTTTTCCCAATTCACAGCCACCTTTGGGTGAGTTCAAAGGCCCCAACTTCTTCTGATACGTGTTCCTTATTCCCAGGAGAGTGGCTCTTCCCCCCAATCCTTCTCCCTCCCCCTAGGTCCTGGTCTGCCTCCCTGGAAGGGCCACTTTCTCAGGAGGGAGCCACCTCCCACCAGGAGAGCCTCGGGGCTCACATCAGGGCGTCTGGTAGCACTGTGGGTCCCACCCCAGTTCTGTAGCCCATGCCTGCACTTCTGCCCCTCCTGCCACTTTCTCAGACCCTAGGGACCCTGAGACAGAAGGCTGTGGCTGCTCTTTGTTCCAGGTGGGGTGCTGGGGTCCAGGTAGGACGTGGAGTTGGTGGAGCAGGAAGCTTGCCCTGACACTGGGTTTTCAGAGGGCAGAGAGCCCTGGGTTGTAGTTCTACAAGGGGATCAGGGAAGGTGTACAAATATTTCTGTGGGTGCTCATGCGCACATGCATGCATATGTATCGTGGTGTGTCACAAGTCATCTTGGTATACCTGTGTATGTCTGTGTATATGGGAATCTATCTGTGTATGTGCATGACCTGTGTGACGCTGTGTGTCTGTGTGTTGGTTGGGTGTGTGTACATTGTATCCATTCCTGGTTAGCTGTGGATAGGCCCGTGTGTCTATGTACCTCTGTGCATGTGCATGTCTGTGTGGCTTCGCACCCTTACACACCTGAGCCTCTGCGTTGTGCGTCTGTGTGTACCTGTGTGTCTTTGTCCAGTGTATTTGCATTCATGCCAGTGTGTGCCTCAGCACACCTGTGTACAGGCCTGTGTTTGAGCGTGCACGTGTGTGCATCCATAGGGCATCTGATGGGCTGTGGAGTTTCAGGAATAAAAAGAGCAAACAGGAACGAAAGACAGGCACGCTTTGTTTCTAAAGATGCTGGAGTTGATGCAGCAGGACGAGGTAGGGGCAGCCCAGGGACAGAGGTGGTGAAGGAGCAGCAGGATGAGCCTCTTGAACATGAGCGGGCCTCTGGCAGCAGGGTGATGGGCCTCCCCAGCTCTGGGCCCCAGGGGCTGCCTCCAGGTGGAGACCTGTCCTGTGTAGAGGGGTCTGTCCTTCTGCCTTGGTGGGAGATTGGGTCCAGAAGCTCCTAGTCACAGCGTGCCAGTCTCCCCAGTGGCATGGAAGGGGAGCTGCCTGGGGGGGTCTGCCCCCACCCTCAGGTCCCTGCATTGAGGACCGTCACAGCTAATTCTCCATGCTCAGCCTCTAAAAGGACAGCAGAACCTGGCTGTGGGGGGGGTGGGAAGGATATACTGTACGGGAAGCCCTGTATACATAGCTCTGGGACTGGTAATTCAAGTGAAGGGTAAGCTCCCCTTTATCAGCCTCCACTTATATCCTTGATAGAAAATGGGCTTCAGCCAGTGCCAGGAGTCTGGTATCCTGCCAGCAAGACCAATGGCACAGGGAGGGAGGGGAAGGCAGGAGGTGGCTCAGACCCCTTCAGTCTGAGGCATGTCTGAGGGAACAGGGTGGATGTCTCTCAAATATCTGGTACTGTTGTTATCGGCCTCAACTTCAACCATTACATATTCATTCCTTTGGATGTTTAAGGCCTTTCAGTGTTGAATAACCCTTGATTGAAAAGCAAACACTCTTAGGAGAAGCTCTTGAATGTGTTATTTATTTTTTCTAAAGATTTTATTTCTTTATTTTTAGAGATGGGAGGGAGAAAGAGAAGGAGAGAAACATCAATGTATGGTTGCCTCTTGTACATCCCCTACTGGGATACTGGCCCACAAGGCTGGCATGTGCCCTGACTGGGAATCAAACTGGTGATCATTTGGTTCACAGGCCATCACTCCATCCACTGAGCCACACCAGCCAGAGTTTGAGTGTGTTATTTATTAATAGCTCTGGGAGACTGAGTGGCTACTTGCTGAGAACAAGGTTTTCTGAGAAGGGACACAGGAGGGAGGGGTATATGGAACCGTTGGTGGGTACGGGGGTGGGTTGTGAGAAGAAAAGCCAGTAAAAGGCGGTGACGAGGCAGGGACTGCTATGCACATCATAATCTCTGCATGGCAACCCCGGGAGACTCTACTTCCTGGTACTCCTGGCAGTGAAGCTGGGCTCTTCTCCATGCTCCTGAGTGTGGCTGGTGACATTTGGCTGGATGCGATGCAAGCCCCTCCAGGCCTGGCCTTTAAATGCTCCCCTACAGCCCAGTCCTCTCACTGTCCCCGCCACAGTGACCTGGGAGTCTGTGTGGCTTGGTGGCATGAACCTCCAGATGAAGGGTGGCCTGACCTACTTTGTCACATTAAACCTTGAGATGTTGCGATTTCCTTGTCACTGCAGCGAAACCTGGTTTAGCCTGACTTAGGGAGAAGAAGCTGCCAACAAATTTCTTAGTTTTTCCCAGCAGATGGAGCACTGAGGTCCAGACCCCAGACCGGGAGTCACAAAGCTCTGGGACAGAGTCCCAGTTCCAGTTCTTCACCCTACAAAGTGCCTCTTCTGTAACACGAGGGTTGGGTGAGACCAACCCTGTAACGTGTCTAGCCCATGGCTTGGCCATGGTAAGTTCTCACTAAATGTTAGTTTTTTATGCTGGGTATTGATGGATGCCACACAGTGTTAGGAATGAGCATGGGTCCCTTATATTGTAAGTTTCTTTTCCTACTAAACAGCATTAGTAACAGGCCCCAGCCTCATGGTGTGTGATTACGTTGGTGATTGTGCTGGGGACACGTTGAGGCAGCAGAGTGGAGTTAGCTGTAGTTGTTCCTCCAGGTATGAGCCTCAGCCCAGCAGGCAGAAGCAGTAACTGGTTCAGCTGTGGGGAGGACAGCATCAGGCTCACGCTCATGGGCTCACACACCTGCTGGCAGCTCACCAGCTGCCAATGTGCCTGCAGGTGGACCAGGCTGGCCTGGAGGAAAGGGGGCAGCTGAGGGAGGGGGTTCCTCCAGGACACTGCTGCCTGCCCCCCCCCCCCCCGAGCACATCCCTGTGTCCCCAGCCTCAGCCCAGCCTCCTGAGAGCTGGGTGCACTGAGAAGGCCTGTGGGTCTGTGGTGGGGAACACGGTGCCGCCTTTACTGATGTTTCTGCCGACCACATCTCCGGACATGGCTGCCCCTGGGGAGGTGTTATCCCACGATCCTGAGGCAGGGGCTGGGGCTGGGGCTGGGGCGGGGGCTGGGGTGGGGGCCGGGGCAATGGGCCACCTGTGGTGGAATCTTACCCCTTTTCCCCCTGAGGTGGGGTGTGGCCTTTGCTAGTGCCCACAGCTTGATCCTCCTAAATCACTCCCAAAGCAGCCCCCCAACCCACCGTTCAGAGTGTTTCTGCTGAGACCTCGTGGTCATGCCCACCCTCCAGCCTTTCCAGAGGCAGATTCCCCAGGAAGCTGGTGGAACATATCCAGGGCTCCTCACTGGCACTGGCCCCTTCTAACACCTAATTTTATGTGAAAAGACGCCCCGAGTTTTCTATGCTTCAGGCTCCAGGAAAAGGGAAATGGGGGCAGGGGAGGACATGATGTGTCCTCACAGCCCTTCCAGCCTCCTGTCCTGTCCCCTCCCCTGAGCACCAGGACACTAACTGTGAGATGGTCATAGTCCCTCTCTGGCCTCGGTTCACTCATCTGTAAACAGGACAGCCAGACAAGGTGGCTTCTGATACTCTCTAGTTTCTGATGTTAGATGACTGACCACCTTAGTAGGATGCCATTGGGACAGCCTGGCTGTCCAGCTGTCCAGCTCATGGGCACTGGGGCTTTGTCAGCAGTATTGTAAGGAGGACAACTGGCCTCCAAGCCCAGGGCCTCTGGTCTGGGAATCACACCCCACCCTGGATGGCCGAGTCTGCCTCCTGTGGGAATGGGGCCTGGCTGTGTGTGGGTGTGTGGGGGCCCCAGAGAGAGGGCAAGAATGCCCTGCCCTGCTCTGGGGGAGCAGCTGTGGGGTGAGGTTAGGGGCGTCCACTGGCAGTCTCGCCTCCCGCTTCCTTCTGGTGTGGGGACCACCCAGCTGATTCACAAAAAGAGATCCCACACTACTGTCTCACTGGTCTCCCCTAAAAGAGGGCCTGAGTTCCTGGGGCCAGCATGGGGCTTCCTCTTCATTACACTGAACCTAGTCATGGTCAGGGTGGAGGAGGCTGAGGCAGCAGGGTGGACACCCTTGGGAGTTCACCCTTCTCTTGTAGGGTGTGAGCAATGGAGTTCGACAGGCCTGGGTTCAAATCCCAGCTCTCTTGCAGCCTGGCTGTGTGGTTTTGGGCAACTGAGTCAGTCTCTCTGAGTTTCAGTTTATGTTCAAAACAGGGAGCCTAATATCTACCTCATAGGAGTATTCTAAGGATTAAATGAGATAATGTGTGTGAAGTGCCTGGCACTTGGTAGGTCCTTGTGGCCATTTGGTATTACTGTTATTATGTCTACTCTTTAGAAGGAGGAAGACTCAGGTGCTGCTGCCCAGGGGGGTGCTGGGAAGCAGGGAGGGGTGAGGCAAGGGGTGGACGTGAGATTTAGGTCTCAGCAGGGGCACTGGGAGGTCCAGATACCATCTGGCATGTGGCCTTCTGAGGTGAGCTATAGAAATGAGACCTCCTCTCTCCCATCCCCCCTTGCCTGGTGGGGCCTCCTTTGGGGGGTCTGGGCTGAGGCCCTAGTGGCCGATGGAGTAGGCCCCTGAGTCTGTGGACTGCTTCTCCTCCGTGGTCTGATCGCTGGGGTACACCGGGTTGGCCGAGGCAGTGACCTTCAGCGTTGTCTCGTTCACCTGCAGAAGGAAGGCTGGCATGGTTCTGCTCTGACTGTGGGTGGGGACTCCCCTGGGCGGACTCAGCATAGGGCTCGAAGCCTGCCCTTTAGGACAGCGACTCAAATCTGTGTGACCCCGAGACACCATCCCTACACCTCAAGGGCAAACAGAAACCAGAGCCAGGCCATAGCAGGATTTGTCCTGCCCAGAAAAGGGGCGAGGATGCATGATGGGGACGGTGACAGCAATGACCCACAGAGCCCCCACGGTCCTTACAGAGCCCACTGTGGGCTAGACTCCCTCTTGTCTGGACCCCAGTGGGCACTGACAAGTGCCCAATGATTCAGAAACCCCTGGAAGGTGAGCCACTGAGCGTCCTGGGGTCCAGTGCCCGTCCTGCCTTGTCCCACTGCCTCTCGTGGGCCCCCACTCACCTCCTCAAACTTCTTGGCTTTGTACTGGTCCGCCCCCTTGAGGAAGTTGAGCAGGATGATGTCACAGAGGACAGTCCCCTGGAGAAGGAGGAGAGGCAGGGCAGGCCCTGAGCTGTGGGGAGAGTGGGCAGGACTGGCCTGGGGCCCACAGCAGGTCGGGGGTGGGCACAGTCCTCCAGACACTGAGGTTTCCTCTTAGAAAAGTGCCCAGGGGCTTTGGGGAATGTCTCTGTGACCCAGCTCCTCAGTGCCTGGGGTGACCCCAGAGGGAAATGCAGGGAGGGTACTGGGGGGAAGAAGCCGAGGGCCCGAGGGGGCAGAAGTCCCTGGGAGCTCCTCACATCTCCTCCCCCACCCTCATGGGGAGGGTCAGGAGCCTTGTAGCAGGTGAAGCCTCCTGCAGGGGGAAGGCTGCTGTGAAGGCAGTGAGCTCTCCGTGACTGGAGAGCTTGTTCTCGCAAGGGCAGACCTGGCAGCGAGGTGGTGGAGGGGACTGAGGACCTGGCAAGAGGCTGGGCTTTGCATTCTAGGCTGAAGCAGGGCTTCCCTGGGTCCGTTCCCCACCCATTCCTGCAGGTGGGGCCCCACCCTGACTGGCTGCCTGGCACAGCCTGGAGGGGCTGAACTCACCACTCCCACAGAGGTGAAGGCTGCCACGGAGCTGATGATGGTGGGGATGATGTTGAACTTGCCTGCCTGTATGTACAAAGACCGAGGTGAGTGCACAGAGAGTCCAGCAGCAGGGCAGGGGTGAGGCCAGAGGCTGAGCCTGGACTCCCAGCCAGAGAGAATGGGGAGCAGCAGGCCCCACCCCTTCACGGTGGGGAGACTGGAGGTGTGACCGGCTGATGGTCTCAGAGCCAGTTGGTGGCTGCACCCTGTCCCCCTGAGGAGCCTCCCGAGGGCCCAAAGTTGGTCCAGGCTCCCTCCCTTCCACCCCCTGCCTGGCACAAGGAAGTACTCACATTCCCGTATACCAGCACGTCGAAGCGGATGCCAAAAGCCTTCAGGAGCGTGCGGTACTCGCTGCCGTTCTCCAGCTTGTAGTACTTGGCAAACCTGGAGGTCAGAGGCAAAGCTGGGTTCCACAGTGGGCCCCTGCCTGCACCGTGGGAGCTCGGGGGTCCCAAGCAGGGTCCTCTGGAGCCTGCGGCCATCATGTACCTCACAACCCTCACAGATGGCTTGGTGGGACACCTGCTGTGGTCCTCCCTGTGTGGTCAGCTGGCCTACCGCACAGGCATCATCTTGGGGGCTTGTTAAAAGGCAGATTCCTGGGCCCCACCTTGACCCCATGGAACAGCATCCCTTTGAGTGGGGCCCAGGACTCAGCCTTTGAAACCATTTCCTTCAATAATTCTGATGTGCATGGAAGTCTGGAACAGTTCACGCTTCTTCAGTCCTATTTGTCTGGGTATTCCAGGGCTGGGCTCCCTCAGGGGCTCCCCTCTCCACAGGCTTTTCAGCACGTGTGGGTTCAAAGCCTGGCTCTGTGACTTAGCAGCTACCTAATGCTAAGAAGCAAAGTCTTGGAGGAGAGGGGCTGAAAACTGTCTTCCTGAATGTGATCAGTTACGGCCCTGGGTGTGGCAGCCGAGAGCGTCAGGGGCCAAGGCAAAATGGCCTAAATTCAAGTTGCACCAGCAGGAGAGGAGGGTTGGACCCCAGAAAGGAAGGCATTTCTAGAAAGACAAGAAGGTCCAAGAACATGATTCTCCACTGAGGTTTTAAAGGAATTTGCAAAAGTGGCATCTGGAACGGGCAGAAGGCTCCAGGAAACCCTCGCCGGGGCTTTCGGGTTGGCCTGAGGCTAAGTGTGGATGACCTCCGTCTCCACGCCACCTTGGACAGGGCACCAAAAATATGCAAATCTCTTACTGCGTGTGTATAAGCAGCTCCGTGAGCCCCAGGGAGCAGACACTGGTGACTTGTTTCATAGGTGAGGAGACAGGTGGGAAGTAACTGGCCCCAGCTGGGATTCTGATCCACACTGATGGCTCCCAAGTCCCTGCTCTTAACCCTGAACCGTCCTGGCTCTGGGTGCTTGGTGGCCACTGAGGACACAGGAAGCCTGGTGCCAGACCTCAGCATCCTTCTGCGCTCAGTGCTCTGTCTCCCACCGCTGCAGAATCCAGGCCTGGAGGGGAGATGTGGCAACGGATGCCCGTGGGCACTGGGCAGTGGTGGGAGGGCGAGTCGAGGGGCAGAGGCTGGACTGCACTCCTGAAGCCGGCATTCCTGGCCACGGGCTGCAGCCGTGAGAAAGGCCCTGACATTGGCCAGGAGAACAGAAAGGCGGCATCCTGGGTGCTGCCTTTCAGAGCGAGAGCTGGCTAAATTTATCTCGAGAAGGAATGTGAAGAGAACAGGGAGAAAAACCAGAGCCGACTTGGTTGTTCTCCAGCACCTGCCTTCCAAGAGGCACTAAGCATGATAAGATCATTATCTCACCCACCACCCACCCTTGGAGGAGGCTTGGCAGGGCCTGGCTCTCAGTCTGATGGGAGGGAGAAGGAACCCTGAGCAGTGGGGGCGGGCAGGGGGAGGGAGGGGATGAGCTGCAGACACAAGGACCCAGAAGTCCTGACTTCGGCACTCCAGGGTGGTTGGAGAGGGTCACAGAATGTGGCCATCAGGTCTGGGTTACTTCCCTCTTGGCCCTCAGCTGGACCATGTTTCCCAGACACTTTGCGTCTAGCTGGGGCCCCGTGACTAGTTCTTGCCCATGGAATGTGAAGGGACGTGGGGTCTGTGTCCCCCTCCGACACCTTCTGGGCCAAGGGGTGTCAGATCAGTGAACCTTCCTCATCCTCCCTTTCCTCGTGGCCAGCTGCTCGAGGGCCAGGGGAGAGCTCAGGGCCAAAGGGGCGACCAAGTCAACAGGCGGCAGAAGCCCAGACCCCTGGAGGCTGTGTGGAGCACCCCTCCCCCCAGCCCCCCCCCCCCCCCAGTGCACTGCGCCAGGAACAAGGAACCAACCTTTGTGTCAGCCACTGAGATGGGGGTTGTTTGTTACAGTGGTTAGCAATATCTGCCATTACAAACTCCTGTAATTTTATAGCCAGGAAGCCTGAGCTAAAGAATGAATTAAAATTGGAGAGGCATTCAAGATGAGAGACAGAGAGAGAGCGAATTCCAGTGATGCTGCACTCCTAGGAATAAACTCTCTGAGAAAGTTCTAGAAGCTCTAAGTGTGGTCCTACGCCTGTCTTTAACTAGCTTCTGACCCCATGCACGTCACGCAACCACTCTGAGCTTTTGCCCTCAACTGAGAGGTGCGCGTGAGGAGGACCAGACGCGAGACTGTCCAGACATAGTAATTAGAGCAAGATATAGTAAGCGCTTAAAGCACGTCTCTGCTCTTTCTTGTCGTAAGATCAAGATAAAGTGAGCTAAGGATGCCTACATTTTCCTTACCAGTCACACCCGCTGCCCCCTGGACGTGAGAGCATTAGCAGCGACAACAGACAACTTATGCTGAGTGCTTCCCATGTGCCCAGCACTGTGCTGAGTGCTTCCTGTGTGGGGACTCACTCAACACTCACAGCCACCTCAGGGAGCTCAGTACCCTATTTACAGATGAGCCATCGGCGTCAGAGAGGTTAAGTGACTTGTCTACGGTCACAACCAGCAGTCAAATGAGCAAAGCTGGGAGTCGACCTCAGGCAGTGCCGTGGGACAGCCCAGACTCTTAGCCAGCGTTTCAGAAGGTTCTTTCTGTTGCCTGATTTCTGTTGGGTCTCCGTTCACTTCTTCCAGTTCTCTAGCACTTGCAGGGTGGGTCTTGCCAGCTGCAGTCATTGGCTGGGAGAAGACCAGGAGGGGTGGGAGACCCACCACGTGTCAGGAGAAGGACCCCCAACCTCCTCATTGGAGAGGGGAAAGGTTGAGCTACACCTGCCTGGCTGGATTGCTCCCAAATGCTCCGATTCCAACCTCTCCAGCTTTGGTTTTCTCGGTTGGGAAATGGGGCTGATAACAATGGCATCGCCATTCCACACCTTGCCTTGCACTAGGAGGCCCCTCTCACTCTGGCTCAACCCCTCTCCCGGCCTGGTTTGCAGAATGCCCTCACTGCCCTGCCCCCTTCACGTGCCAGCCACACAGGCTGCTTTCCTGTAACTGTACACACTTCCCAGACCTAGACTCTGGGTGGCCTTTGCCCATGCTGTTCCCCTCCCCCACCTTCCACCTTGCAAACTCCTATTTATCCGTCTGGGCCCTGCTCAGTGACTTCTCGTTCTTGCAAGATTTAGCAAATATTTAGAGTGAAGCTACTGTCGGCCAGGCACTGAGCTAGGCACCTGCCAATACTCTGGCAAGCTCTGCTTTCATGGGAGAGAAATATTAATCACGCCATCCCATAAGTAGCTACACTTGGACTTCAGGGCTGGGAGGGAGAGGTGCACCATTCTAAGAGCACAGCCAAGGAAGACATTTGGCCTAGGCTGGTGGGCCAAGGAAACCTTCTGTGAAGTAACACCGAGGCCAAGGCCTGAAGAGTGGAGAGTTGAAAGGAAGGAAGCCGGCAGTGGGGGGCAGCTTTCCTGGCCGAGGGGGCCCAAGTGGTCAGGGAAGGGCGGGCATTTCTGAGGAAGCGGAGGGAGCGCCCTGTGCCCTGGTCCTGGGAGGACGGACATGTATGGAAGTGGCAGCATCCGCTTGGCCCTGGCCCAGCAGGCAGAGCCCACTCCTGTGCGTCTCCCCGCAGTTCCACATGCACTGATTTCACACCTGCAACTGTCCGCAGTGAAGCATTTACACCACAGGAATCGGCGAACACTGCAAACCCAGATTTTGTCTTCTTTCTCTCCAGGGCGCCCATTTCCTAGTGCTGGGGCTGTGAGGTCCCTGTGCGCTACCGTGTCTGTCGCTGCTAGGGCCCCAGTCCCTCCTGCAGTCCCCCACCACAGCAGACCACTGTTGGTAATCTGGACTGCAAGCCAGCTCCCCTGTCTCTTTTTGCTCAGGGGTCCCGCACAGTGACTGCTTGCCGGAGGAATACCTGAGTTTTCAGACTCCTGACGTCTCCCAGATTGAGTTTAGCAGTGTTGGCCTCCAGTCTTCCTCCCCTGACTCTGGCTTCTCTAAATGCACCCCGTTCTTCAGGCGGAGCTAGTCCATAGGGGTAACAACAGCTGTTTCTCTCCCAAACAGAAAACATCTGGCTCTGGCAGCTGGCTTCGTGGGGAAAGTGGGCGCTGTTGGTTCCCACATGGGGACCCAGCCTCGGGGAGGCGGAGGGGGAAGAGCAGGGACAGTTGTATGTGGAGCTCTCACTCGTGCTGAGCACCAGGCTAGAAGCTCCCACACCCGTCCTTTCACTTGGGGCCCCCAGCAGCTCCATGGGGGAGCTGCTGGCTTAGGACTTTGAAATGAGCCAGTTCTGGGCTTCAGTCCTGGTTCTGCCCCTTAAATTCCTTTGTATAACCTGGGGCAAATTACTTCACCTCTCGGCCTCTCAGTTTCCCCAAACCTGAAGGGAGGTGACGGCCGTAACTGCTGAGTGGACTCGGCGTGCGGCTGGATGAGAAGGCTGAGCACAGTGGCGGACACAGAGCTTTGAGTCTGTTGTCCAGCGGTCCTCAGGCAGCACCGTCAGACTCAGAGGCTGGAAGAGGCACAGCTGGGATCTGAAGTGCGCCTGCTGAATCCCAAGCCTCCGCCTACCCCCTGCTGGTCCCCAGCAGAGGAGTCAAAAAGGAGCGTCCTTGTGGCCTCAGGGGGCAGGGAACTTGGGAAGCAGGTTGAGGAGGTGCGACTGCAATCATGCCAGAACCGCCAGAGAGGACAGCAGAGAGGACACCTGCAGGCCCCCGGCAGGGGGAAGGGTGGGAGAGGGAGGCCCTGGGGGTGGTGGGGCTGCCAGGGCAGGGAGGGCCATCTGAGCCCGGACCTGTGAAGGAAGGGCTGATGGCCGTGTGCTGGCTACTCTCCACTGCGCTGCAGGCTGGGCCCTCTGGTCTCCGGGGCGTTTGGTCAACGGGAGGAACCGGGTGGGGAGCAGGGCGGCACAGGTGTGGTCAGTTGTTTCTTCTGCCCACTGTTCCCTGCCTCCC